AATAATAAACTATCTAGGATGAGCTCAATAATAAACTAACTAGGATGAGCTCAATAATAAACTATCTAGGATGAGCTCAATAATAAACTATCTAGGATGAGCTCAATAATAAACTAACTAGGATGAGCTCAATAATAAACTAACTAGGATGAGTTCCATAATAAACTTAATAGGCTTAGAGTGAGCTCCTTTATAAACTTTCTAGGGTGAGCTATAAAATAAACTTTCTAGGGTGAACATAAAACTATCTAGGATGAGCTCAATAATAAACTATTTAGGACTCCATAATAAACTATCTAGGGTGAACTCCATAATGAACTATCTAGGGTGCGCTCCATGATGAATATGATGATATCGAACCGTTCTTCGACGTGAAAAGACGCAACCCCGGAGATAACTTTAATGAAACGTTTACATCTCCTCACACTAAGGCAAGGTTTATAAAGCTCTAAAGCTAAGATAGATTTAAAGGGACTGGAAGCGTAATTTCGAGTGACCCTTCGGCCTTCATGCGAAGGTTGCAAGGCCATATATGCAATGGTATCCTTGAAACCTTAATATGATAAAAAGTTTGGAAGATACCGTCGTTTTTCTGATTCCATTTTATGTGTTTATTTCTGAGAGTTTCTCCATTGCTTCCTATAAACAAGAAATGCGCTCGTCACTTTCCCAGATAAACCGCAAATAAAATTAAATGGTTAAAATAAACAAATAGACAAAAATATTGATATCTAATTCATACTTGATCAGACAAAGCTTTCCAGAGTACCGTTGTAAATTGGGCATTGCAATTAATAATTCAGATCTTTTCAGCGACGAAAAAAGATAAAATGAAATAAATTATTCTTTTATTTAGTTCCAGAGGGAACCAGCTGAGTCGAGGTACTTCTATCCAGATACAGTTCCAGATATACTTAAACTACCTACTTCTTTAGCAAGGTACTTTTATCTAAATACAGTTAAGATTTAAATAAACTACCTACTTCTTTAGTCAGGTTCTCCTACCCAGATACATTTCCAGATGCACTTAACTACCCACATCTCTAATCAGGTACTCAAAATTTAGTTCCAGATGTACTTAAACTACCTACTTCTTCATCCAGGTACTTTTCTCTAGATACAGTTAAGATGTAATTAAACTACTTTTTCTCTAGTCAGATACTCATACCCAGATGCATTTCCAGATCTACTTAACTGCCCACTTCTCTAGCAAGGTACTTGTATCCAGATACAGTTCCAAGTGAAATTAAACTACCTACTTCTCTAGCCAGGTACCCTAGATACACTTCCGAAAATACTCAATCTCTGCTTTTCTAACCAGGGGCTCCTACCCAGATCCTTTTTGATAAACAATGCGGTTTAAAAACCTATTTATAAGGATATCCAATTCTAAGCTGTTGTCATGGATAAAAGTAAACCTCTATTTAAGATATCAGAGCTTGAAGTGGATACTATTGCAATTTGTAAAAAGAAAACCTCTTCCTAGGATATCCAGTTCTGACCTTAAAGTGGATAGTGTTGCAATGGATATCATTAAAGTTCTATTTAGGATATCCAATTCTGAGATTGAAGTGAATACTGTTGCAATGGATATTAATTAACCTCTATTTAGGATATCCAATTCTGAGCTTGAAGTGGATACTGTTGCAATGGATATCATTAAAGTTCTATTTAGGATATCCAATTCTGAGATTGAAGTGAATACTGTTGCAATGGATATAAATTAACCTCTATTTAGGATATCCAACTCTGAGCTTGAAGTGGATACTGTTGCAATGGATATCATTAAAGTTCTATTTAGGATATCCAATTCTGAGCTTGAAGTGGATACTGTTGCAATGGATATCTTAAACACCAATGATCTGGGAGCAAATACAATGAACCCCGGACTCAAGGTAGAAAAAGAATTCAAAGGTGTATATTGTTTATGGTGTAGGATATAACGGTTATTGGGCTCAACTTACGACACGAGTGGTCTGAGGATTCCATTTTAGGATCATTTTTTAGTATAGGTTGGATCAATAACGTTGGCGGTTTCACTTTTAGCCTTTTTTTTAAAATATCTTGAAATGTGTTTTACATTTGTTTCATGGTCAACTATTCACATTTGGTCTGAACTTTACAATCCCGTAAACTTTATTTTATCACTGTTAATGAGAATTTTAGAGCTAAATGATTCCTTTTTCCAGCTTGAATTTTAAACCGTAATTTTCATTGCATTTTTAAGACTAACAGACCAAAGTTTTTTAGATTTTTGAGATTCACTCTATTTTTCCGAAAATAAAAAATAATAAAAAATATTTTAAAATAGAAGATTAAAATGGAGTTCTAGTAAGGTTTGAAAAAAAATTGTAATACCTCTTACTAAGTTTTTGTGCTATAAGTCCATAGGTCTTTCCTAATTTAATTAGTTCATCTTGGGCATTTTATGTGGCTAGTAGGAAGTCCCTAAAACTCTTTTTTTTGATTGATTGATTGATTGATTATGTGGTCTAGGCTCTATGGGATGATGAGAGAATTCGGCGGAATATATTAAATATAGATGATCCCCTGACCCCCCCTGGATCTCCTCCTCGTCCCCCTTCAGCTTATCTCAGCTCGGACTCGGAGAAGTTCTGGATGGAGAGGTTCGACACCATGCTGGAGGAGAAGACACGCAGGTGGGTGCTACTGGTGACCTCAATGTGTCACCCCATTTCAACTCAAAGTTAGACATTAAGAGCAATTTTAAAACATTAAAACTTATTAAATTAAATATATAAATTTTAAAACATTAAAACTTATTAGTTTACATATATAAAGTTTCAGTACATTCAGCTTTCAGAGAAGCAACCACTAATTCTTGTAAGGCGCTTCTTGTATTCAGAGATACAGGGTGAGAGAGAGAAAATGGCAAACTAGAGAAACTTTAGTCAGGGGTTTATATGGGGTATACAGAACTACAAGAAACATTAAAGGCCTGCATTTATCTTTTAACACTGTATTAACCTGGAGAATGGAGGTTTTTACCTAGCTGTATCCAGATTTTGCTGCCATCAGCTTTAGATGTACTAATATGCATATATAAAATATGTTAAATATAAATATATATAAAAACCAACCTGGTTAGCTTTTCTTAAGTATCCGAACTTGTCAGAAAGATGTTAATTCTTTTGATTGAATCTGGTTCTGTGTGTAAGCATCAAGGGAGCTTAGAACAGTCAGGTTCTTATACATCTCTTCATTTTTTTGCGGCTGAACAGAACCCCGTGTGGAATAAAACATGGCAGTACACCCTACTTTGAAAAAAAAGAAAATAATAGTGCAGAGAAAGAGGGGTTTCTCTATGCTTCTCTTCCCCCTCCCTCTTGCAAGAAACAAAGAAAATATAATCCTGATAGGTTGTGCACCATGCACAATGATAACGGTTTAAACTCTGCCTGCTGTGATGCAAAGATTTCTGTAGACAAGACCGTATTCTGAAGCACTGTCCATGATGAACTTACAAGAATCAAGAATTCTTTTGTCGAAAATATCCACTCCTTGCCTAATCTTTCTTATCCCATTTGTCATTATTAATGCGAAATTCTGACAATGGTTCCTCAGAATTTTCAAACCCAGTTTAGCAGTGACTTTTATTTTTCCAACTTGTAAAATATTTAAATATAAACAATAGCTGGATGAAAAAACTGCATCATTCATCCTCAATATAACTTGTAGAATTTTGAATCCTCTGCGGAGAAAACAAATAGTAACATGTGTAATATTAGGAAGAAAGAAATTAAGACAAAGATAGATTTTAATGCAAATGCCAAAAGAAACTCAAATAAATATTGGCAAGTGTCAAAACATTGCTTATGATGTCTAAAATAGTGTTGAAATGGTGTAAAAACTATGGGGTAGGCTCTCCAGGCATGACACCGGGCATGAATAAAAAAAGCTTTGGGAGCTTGTAGCTTTGAATTATTGATTTTATACTTTTTTTGATTCTAAGTTAAAGAAATGATTGTACTTGGTCTTTGGGAACACTGTAGAAAACACTAAACAAAAACGCACCACTGAGGAAGTAAATGATTTGATAATTTCGTAAAATTTAGGGAGGAAGTAAATAATTTGTTAATTTTGTAAAATTTAGGGAGGAATTAAATAATTTGATAATTTTGTTAAATTCAGGGAGGAAGGAGATGACTTTTTGGAAGAAGACTCCTCTGATCCTGATGCTACAATAAACATTCACAAATTATTCAAAGGATCGCAGGGGTACGTTAAGTAAAATAATTCTTTTGTTAAGATGAAAAATTTGAAGAGGGGCTTGTCTGATTCACAATAATGCTACTTGTTAAAGCATGTTAGATTTTGAAAAATTCCTTCATTTACCCTGTAGCATAAATCCGCAAGTCAATTTCATAGAGAAACTACAATCGATAATAATCAATTTTTTCCAAATAACGCTAACTTATTGTCATAGATCAGACGAGAACTTTCAGGGTACAAGTGTGACTCGGGACATGCCACTCTTGAAATGAAAAATACTTGGAATTTATGTCTTCAGTTAGAAAATAAATAAAAAAATTATAACTCCTGGGCAAACGATTTATTTTTTAGGTCAAGTGTGTACGCCGGAGAAACCTCTGACTCTGACCTGTCTATCCTACCTGGAGCAACCCAGCTGGAACATCATGTTCCAACCCTCTCCATGTCCATCCTAAACCAGTCCCAGTCCTTCATTGGGACTCCGACCAGGAGCAGTCAGCTCTCCCAGACTGTGTATAGCGAGCTGGATGAATCCCAATGTTATCTTGATGAAACGCTTCAGGACGAAGAAGATTCGAATGAGAGTGATGATGAGCTAGTTGATCTTCTGGCAAATTTGGTAGCTAATCCACCAGCTTCTCAACAATCTTCTCATTCTAGTTCTCAATCCTCAGCACAAACTGAAGAAAAAGTTCTTAGCAGTCAAGAATTATTTGACGAAAATATGTTCGCTTCTCCACAAGAGGAAGAAAAGAAGGAGACAACTGAACATCCTTTGTCACCAAATCAATCAGATCTAAGTTTTCAAGGCAGTATCATACCTGGTTCACCAACATCGCCAATAATTATAAACCGAGCAAAAAGATCGTCACAAAAGAATGCATTATCTCAAACCATTGCATCATCCCAAGACATGGCTTTATCTCAACATAGTGTCTTATCCCAACATCGTATTTCATCCCAACCAAATGTTTTATCCCAATCAAATGTTACATCCCGGGAAACTTTGTTCCCCCAATCTCTTGATATCTCAGACAGAGAAGATCTTATTGAAGATTTTGATGATGACGAACTCAATGAGAGTCTAGTGATGTCTCAAGCTGTCTGGGACTCAGATCCCTTCTCGGAGTCAGTTCAGGGACTTGACTCGTCCTTGTGGGGGGATGATGATGGAGAGGATGAAATCCTACGGACCTTGGATGATACTTGTGATAAATAGAATAATTTTATATTTTCAGAATCTTTCTTCTTCCCTGGCTAAGATGCCCTGTACTCACATCAATCATATGTCTGATGAGGACGTGAAGGTAACAACAAAAAATTTTCCTGAAAACTTTTTTGTCTGCTGAGATAAACAAATTTGTTTTTCCAAATTGGAATTTCTTCCCTGAAAAGTACTGAAAGGGTAATTTCAAGTCACTCTTCATGCAGAGATGGCAATGCTCCATTTACAAATGTAGAACCCTTAATCTGATCAAAAATGCAAAAAATAAAGTCTTTTTTTACTAGAAAAGTGTTCAATTCTGATCACTTCTCCATAACTTCTTAAAAGCAAGAAACGCAAAAGTCAATTTCACAGAGGACCTGCAAATAAAAATGAACTAGGGCCCTTAAAAGTTGTTAAGGGTACCGTTGTGAATTTGGTTGTTCCATCTGTGTCTGGAGGCCGGAGAGTCACTAGTTTACCACCTTTATTGATTTTTAAACTCGTCTTCCTATTACTCTCATTTTTTGGGGATCACACACAACCTGTAGATAGAATTTCAATCGACCCTCTATTTAACGAGGGATCTGCTTTGTCTGATCAAGTATCTATGAGATTTCCAAGTTTTTCTCTTAAACTCACTGAAATATCGAATTCTCCTGTAGAGCTGGTTAAACTCCTTCGACACTGTGATGACGGATTGTGATGGAGTTCTCTGGGTCGGAGCTGAGGCTATACAAGGTTCACCTCAGGTTATTAACAGGTAAACAGGTTTGATCCTTCCGGTTGCAGCCGCCGCGCTGCTTTCTATGGAAGTTGTGCGGTGAGACGGACTCTACCCTGACCTTTCTCCGGATCGATGGGGGGAACTGTTTTTTTTTTTATGTTACAGTAGGATAGATGTTATTAACTTTAATCCTTCTTCTTTAATTGGTCGTAGGGTTCGAGATTAAAAGAGGTTCATTACGTAATTTCAAATTATCCTCCATTTAAAGAGTGACATTTCCGATTCACAACGGAACCCTTTTAACCTTAATCAGGTCAGAAATTCTCATACATAGGTATTAGGATATCGTTGCAAATCGTACATGCCACTCTATAAATGAAGGTTCACTTGAAATTACGTTTACAGTCCCTTCAAACTCCAAACTTAAAACTAAATATTGTTTGAACGTGATTTTTTGTCCATTATAAGCCCTTAAAAGTTAGAACATTATATTTTTTACCCGACAATTTCCGGCCTTTATCTCTAATAATTTAAAATCTGTTTTACACCCTGCTGACTTATTTAGGTTTCGCGAGCTGGGGAAAAGGGTTTTCTTTGTGACGAACAACAGCACAAAGCACAGGAGGGAGTACAAGCAGAAGGTGGATACTCTGGGCTTTGGAGGGGATCTGGTGAGTGAACCTTCATAGTGAGTATTAGGCAATAAATATTTGTTTGGAAAACAATATTCCCTTTTATAACAACAATTCCCTCAAGAAGGGGGAACTTTATTTTTCCCTCAAATCTTCGTAAATCTTTCTTTAAAATATAGCCCATGGTGTTTTACAGGACCAATGATATTAAAGGAAGAAAACTGTTATTAACACTTGTTTACTTCCATGCTACTTCCATTTTTCCAAATTCTTCAAACTTTTTTTGTCAGAATTTAGACTTGACTTGAAAGGATTGTATATGTGGAACCGGGGAACTTTCTATTTGTTAGCTATTATTAAAAACACTTGACTTAAATATAAGAATATCTTGCATTTTCCAAATTCTTTAAAACTTTTTTGGTAGTATTAAGATTTGAGTTTGACCAATGAAATGGTAAGAAAGAAAAAATAAAACTGTCAGATTTTTTTTGTTATTAATTGTCTAATTTGGCTCATGTCTATTCACGGTGCATACAGTTGCAATTTTAGTTTTTGTACTGAAACAGATGTTGATAAAAAAACTACTTGCAAAAGCTTTCATGGTTTACCCTTTATGTGTATATAGTAGAATAATAAAAAATTAAAAACTTATGCAATCACAGAAATACAGTTTGAGAAATATCTATATTTCAGGATGAGATAATTGGAACTGCATACCTAGCAGCATCATACTTAGAGGAAATATTTTTTACATTTTATCATTTGAGAAACTGAAATCTTTATTTAAGGCTATCTTTTGGTTTGTATATTGAGAAAATTTATATTTTCATAGTTAACAATTTTACGATTCTTCTATTCTTTAGTATATAAAAATCAATAGTTTTTCCATTGCTGTTGCTGATAAAACCAAAGTATTTAAAGCTTACAACTCCCAAAAATTTAATCATTTGTATCCGTTCATTTTTTTTTTATAACAAAAATATGACAAGGATTGTGGGTTCGACAAGACCAAGAAGGTTTATGTGGTTGGGTCTGCTGGAATAACGCAGGAACTAGATGATGTTGGCATCCAATATCTTCCCATAGGGGTGAGTACTAAGTCTGTAGATGTGTGTATTAGTTTGGTTCTTTCTAGGTTTTTTTTTTGCTTAATATTTTCTTTTATTGACAAAATTTGGCAAAGTAAAAGAAAATTTATTATTTTCCTTATATTTGCCAAATTTTGACCCAAGCATAAATATTTTGCAAAAAAGGCCAAAAACAATTCAAAAATTAATCAAAGCAATCATCTTTTTACATACATACCCATTCGTCACAGAGAAACTTGTTCATATTCAAGGCTATATGATTCTATGAAGCCATCTTGCTCTCAATATTTGAAAGGTGTTAACTGTAAAGGAATCAAACATTTGCAACAAATTCTAATTTTTAAACCTTTGATATTTCAAACTTAGCAAAATTCATAGTTTTTAATATCAAAGAAGGAAAGATAGAGTGATTAGAAAATTCATATTTGATTTGATTTGAGTAATATGTGTTTTACAAATATGTTCACAATAATAATATGCAAAATCCGAGAAAAGAGACTAAAAAATAAATATTTAAAATTTGTGCTCATGTACCATTTATACGTTTTTTCGACATTTTTCCCGATTAACTTAAGTATAATTTTGTCCCTCCAATCCAACAAACATTACTCTAGAAAATTAATATGGTGATTATTCTAGAGGTTGCATTTAGAAAATTGTGTACATACATTATATATTGAATGACAGATAATCTTTTAATATTAACCATAAGAAATTATAATATGTTAATGCCTCGGTACGATCACAGAGTGTTGAAATTGAATATGCTAAAGAAAGAAGAAAATCCTTCATTATTTTGGATGTAGCCAGTCTCAGTTTAAGAATTGTATTCACGTTTGCCAGGCAGTGTTAAACAAGTGTTGATACCCTACAGAAAACTCTCTGACTTAACATTTATTTCTCCCATATGTTCTCGCCAAGTTAATAAATATTTAACGCAGTTTAGCTGTGCCATGCTAATTTTTCATTTTTTGGAAGCTGTTAGTCGGGTAGAACAGCAGTAATATATCAAATCTTAAACTAAACAGCTGGATTGGTTGACACGGCTTGACTTTGCCGCCTCAAGCTAATAAATTCTTGGAAACTGTTTTTGTCTAAACATCCACGATTTAATTAATCAGATGGATCGATTGGCACAGCAAGTTATTTATGAATCACTTCTCTATAACTCAATAACTTATTATAAGCTTATTTATCAATTCATTTAAAAATTAAATTATGTATTTAATACAACTGTTTGGCAACTAGCTGACAAAAGGAATCAGACCGGTGACATGGCTCAAATTTGGTCGTGTGTCCGACGTTAGGATTTAAACTATGTCAGGCTGAAAAGCCTTCACCTATAGGGGATTGTGATGGCATACCCCTTGTAGGTCAAGGAGCTGTTGGACGCATCCCTAGCTGTATGATATGATATGATATGATACCAAATAAAACGCATTAAATACTAAAGTTTAACTGAAAAAAAAGTTATTTAAAAAATTGAAGAAAGATGTATGTTGCATAAGGTGGAAGAACGGATGAGCATAACAACAGATCTAAATCTATTAGGCGCTGAAGATGCAGGGAAAATTAGAAAATTTAGAATAAAAATCAGAAGTACAAATTTTTTTCGGAAACCTTGCAATTTGAGAATTTTTCATCATTAGCAAAATGCCTAAATTTTCGCCAGGACTTTATTCGAAAGATGTAAATGCAGTAATAATCGGATTCACTAGGAGCATATCTGATATTCACTTTTAAAACCATGATTGGAGTGTTTAATATGTCAAATAATAAGATCATAAAACCTTTCAATCTATTTAGTTAAAATAAAAACTTTCAAATTAAATGTAGAAAATAATTTTTGCCTAAAAATTTATCGGATAATGGATCTTAGGAGTTTTTCTCTCCTGCACATAATATATGCAACTAAGTTCCTAACAAATCCCAACTGCTTACTAATTGCTGATTCTCCTGACCCTACATTCTCTATGAGGAAAAGAATTTGATTGATCTGAAACCTGAATAGAGACCTAAAGGTGTAAAAAGATAAGTAGGAAGATACAACGTAACAACATCATGGGTTAATGAAAGTCCATTTTTTAAACCAGTCTGTTCTTGGAAATCTTGGTTAGCATTTCTAAACTTTTTTCTGGAACACATCATAAAGTTTTTTTAAACAATCTTTAATTTTTGTTTTGGGTGGGGGTTTATTTTTTAAGAAAATTCTGCTTAGTGAAAAGAGCTACTTACAGTGAGAAAGAAAGTTGAAAATAAGAGAAAATGAAGAATAAAATGTGTGAAATAGTGGCACAGAAATAAATGCAAATATTCAATGGAATTTAAATGATTTGAGTTTTTTCACAAACTCAATTTCTAATCCATATTTCTTTGCAACCTGATGATGTAAACCTTAGATATTTCAAACTTAGACTATTTGATCTAACAGAATCCATAGTTTGAAACATCTAAGGGAACATCAGGAATGCCAAGAAATAGGGATTAGAAATACAGAGTTTAAAACTCAATTCCTTTCTATTGATTATAAAATATCACATTAAAATTCTTGATCATGTAGGGATGAAAATAATGTAAAACATCAATGTCCAGGTTAGAAGCTAAAGTATTGCATGATAGGGTTATGTAATAAATAAAGGAAAATACTAATTGTGACTTTATCTTGAGAAATAGGATCTCCGTTTAGGATTTTATCCCAATTCCAGTGCAAAATCCTTTAATAATTCTGTTTCACTCCCAATCAATTTGGGCATGTGCTTCTTGTTTCTAGGAATTATTATGTCAAAATTTTCGTAATTTTGTCCGTTTTGAAAGCCATAAACAACAAATACTATCTAAGGGGTTTGAGAAAATAAGTCCTATTTTTAAATCATTGTAATTCTCTGGAGGTTTCATCCTAGAACTTTTATTTATGACTGTCCTAAGAAAGCTAAGGGAATGTTAAGAACTTTTAGATCAATACTTTAAAATTGTTTTTATTATTTTACTGTAGGAGACATGTTTGTTTTCTTAGAGTCATATCAAAGTCTTCTAAAATATCTCAATAAAAACATCTTTAAATTAAAAGCTGAAAATTTGTTTTTCTTCAAGGCTGAGTCTAGTTCTGGATTCAACTTAGAGACTATAAATGATTCAAGACTTAATGCTGACCAGTTGTTAGACAGGAAGGGTGTCAATATTTGGATGAAAATAATTTTATTTATAAATTTTAATTCATTTTAACATTTTTTTTAAATGCCAGTTGTACACTTTTCATTAATTAGATCAGTAGAGGCAGTAATACTTGGGTTTGATGGAGGGATAAACTGTTGGAAGCTGATGATGGCAGCGTCTTATCTAGCTAATCATAACACTCAGGGATTTAAATCCTAGTACTTAGTTTGCTGGATTGAAAGAAGAAAGTTTCATTCTGCTTTTTTTTGAGAGTCTCAATCTTAACTAAGTAAATTCACTTTATGGTTGAGATGTGGAAAGTATAGACGTCCCTAATACTCATGTTAAATTTGGTCAAATATTCTCTTCCTGATAAACAATTCAATATTCATTATTGTTGGATTTTAAACTCAAGTTTATTGTGACCAATGCTGATGCTTGCTTCCTAAGAGCAGGCCTAATTCTTCCAGGTGTTTCAGCTTACAACCCATTAAACCCTGTTTCTGGTTTATTGTTATTCTGTGTTCTGCTTATGTAAACATAACCTAGCTTTTGACTAACAAGAGAAAAAGTTTCATCATCTGATTAAACCTTTGTCAATGTGAATACAATTCTACCTGGGATATTCTTCATCCAATATTTGCTCTCATGCTATTTTGGTCATACATCAAACATTTACTGCTATCTTGAAGAGATTAGTTCTTTTATTATCCGTTTATTTTGTCCAATCATTTTCATTCAATTCCAAGGGATTGCTATGTGACTAATTCTCAAATGAAATATTTTAAATTGTGCACTTTCTCCAGAAAGACCATTCAAAGGATTTTTCAAAGTCAATTTAGGCTGTTATAGAGAAAAAGTCTGAGGAAATTGTCACTTGTCAAATATTTTGGATGATTTTGATTGAATGATTGATTTTTAGCCTGATATTGGGGTGGAGAACAGGGATCTAGCAAGTTTAACTGTAGATCTTGATCCCCATGTCCATGCTGTGATTGCTGGGATGGATCTTCATATATCTTTTACTAAGGAAAACCGCCATGATAATTAATATACCCTATCCGACAAGGCCGACAAATTCAACCTTGATAAGTTTTACATCAATCATGCAGATCTATTATGGCGTGTTTTCCAGCTTCTAAAAGCTGCCAGCTATTTGTCCCGTGAAGGCAGTATTTTTATTGCAACAAATACTGATGCTCAGTTTCCAATGAAAGGAAAGGAAATAGTTGTTCCAGGTAGATTATTTTTAGTTGTCTATTTATGTGTCTTTAAATCTCTAAATTGCTGGCAGAAGTCTTAACATTTCTAGGATGAACTTTTCTTAATAAATTTTTTGCAATATTTAAAATCTTTTTAAAAAAATTGCATGGATATTAACAAACTAACAAAATACTTTTTTTACTTATCATCTACTCATTGTAATTTGGGGTATCTGATCTTAATAAATGTAACTATATCAATATCTATGTAATTGTTGTGGAATGCCTTACATTTTGTGCTTGAATTCGTTTTTAAACATTTAGCAAATTTTAATTTTCCCTTTTATTTCAATGTATCTATTTTGCAAAACAAAGCCTTGAATTTATTAAAATGGATCAAACCCTTAGGGTTAGGGGAGTGGGAGGAGGGCATTTTTAGATTTGATTTGACACATCACTACTTAAGCTGGTCAGCATTATTATTGTTCAGGAACCGGTTCTATGGTTGCAGCTGTTGAGACAGCAGCTGGTCGGAAACCAATTATCCTAGGTAGTTTAGCACAGTACCCCATTTTATACAGAAGAAACCAGGAAACTGTGGAGTGATTTTCGTCTCCGCTATTTCTTTTAACGAACAAACATCGAATAGGACTTTTCAATATCGACATTTTATAACAAGAACAAAAGATGAAAATGATAATCTTCATTTTTTCTGGATACCACTGTATTTTCGTATATTATCAATTAATGAAATAATATTCCAGGGAAGCCCAATCCCCTTATGTTTGAGATTGTACAGAAACGACATCCAAGCGTTAAACCAGAGAGAACTCTGATGATTGGAGACAGGTAAAAATTACACAGTGGATAGGGATGGGCATTGGGCATCGCTTTTGTTAACGAACAAAATTTTTGGTGAATGCTGATGAACGAACGATTTGGCTCCTCCAGAAAATTTAAATACGATCGTTTTTTAAAATAAACGAAAAAACCTACTATCCAATACAAAAAGGGTCATGTATTATTAGGCCAGCCTTGAACTTACTAATCTTCTTTTCAGACATACTTCTGTCGGTTATTTTAATCTTTTTGCTTCAGTTTTGTAAATATTTTGCTAGATTATGCTTAGAGACCCAAAAGACAATGGAACAAAACGAAAGCTGTTCGACAAAAAATATGATTTTAAATAGTCAAATGAAAGTGAAACACATCAATTATCCAGTATACATACTACACAGACCAATTCAACATTAAGTTGGATTTGAGGCTTCTGTTAGCAATTTTATTGTAAAGGCTGCACAATACTTATTTTAACATCTAGGGCTGATACTGATATTTTGCTCGGGAAAAACTGTGGACTTCAGACGCTAATGGTTGGAACAGGTGTACACTCGCTAGAAAAGGTCAGTTTAGTCATGTACTCTGTACAGTGTACAGGTGTACTTTCTTAAGATTTAGATAAGTTCAGAGCCTAAAATTTAAAAGAATATCTTTGGACAAAACTCCCAAGTTTCCATTTTGGGGTCTTAACATTTGTGTAGATTTGATTTAAGAGATTCGAAAAAAATTAAGAATATAAACAAACTGAGAAGAATAATATTTCATTACAAAAATATTGATATTCACAAAACTGCCTAAACCCCATTCGTGAAACCCGGGTTTTAAAACTGGTTTCAGAACGATACTCTGTCTTAAGTTTTGGACTCAGTGCAAAAAGTACACTACATGACTATGTACAAATGTACATTTGTAACAGATAAATCCTATTGAATTATGTCTTTCTGTTACAAAACCGGAATTTTTATATAACTTTATTAAGAACGAGATTATTCTGACGGACAATTCGTTTTGAAAGTCATTTCCTAGGTGAAAGATTGGGAGACAAGTACTGATTCAGAAGAGCAACGCCTTGTTCCAGATAAATTTGCTGATAGACTAGGAGATCTGTTAGATAGGATTAAAGATCTTTAATCCTCCTTTATTTTGATAAGATTAAACATCTTTAATCCTGCCCTTGTTAGATTGGATTTAACATCTTTAATCCTGTTCTAGTTGGATAGGATTAAACATCTTAAATCCTGCTCTTTTTAGATTAGATTTTACATCTTTAATCCTGTTCTAGTTGGACAGGATTAAACATCTTTTATCCTCCTTTATTTTGGTAAGATTAAACACCTTTAATCTTGTCCTTGTTAGATTGGTTTTAATATCTTTAATCCTGTTCTAGTTGGATAGGATTAAACCTCTTTAATCCTCCTTTATTTTGGTAGGATTAAACATCTTAAATCCTGCTCTTCTTAGATTGGATTTAACATCTTTAATCCTGTTCTAGTTGGATAGGATTAAACATCTTTAACCCTACTCTAATTAGATTGGATTAAGCATCTTTAGTCCTGCTCTTGTCAGATTGGATTTAACATCTTTAATCCTGTTCTAGTTGGATAGGATTAAACATCTGTAATTCTATTCTAGTTAGATAGGATTAAACATTTTCAATCCTGCTCTAGTTTAATAGTGTTTAAAAATATTACTCCTGCTTGATTGAATAGGATTAAACATTTTTAATCCTGCTTAGTTTGGATATGATTTAACATTCTTAGTTGTTTTAAGTTTATTTACTTAAAGTTTTATTAAAAATGTTTAGTCTTACTATATGTAGATTGTGATAATGTTTTTTTTCACCTGCAACGGATTAAATGTAGAGAATTAAATGTAAAGGATTAAGCATATTTAATCCCATCTTTAAAATTACAATATCATCCATAGAAGACATGTATCCAACATTATTATTTGTTACCGCCTTGTTTGTCAGTTAATGTTTAGGAAAGTTATTAAAGGAACTGTAGCCGTATTTTAAAAGAGTGGTCCGACTTACACAGAAACCTTTATGGTGAGCTACACAATATACAAAACTAAAAATTATTATCTTTGTCAGTGTCTCTGCTGCGTAAAATCTGCAAGCCACTTTTATAGCAGAACCATAATTTTGATATACCTTTTAGGTTGTGAATTGGTGATGGCAATTAAAATTACGTCATCAATCTCTCTAAGCTGACATAATCGTAGTACATTTTTATGTTTTGATTTAACATATTTGTAATATGTAACATAGACAATTAATTGTATGTAATTACTTGTAACCACCCGGTGACTTATTAATATATGTATTCGACAGGGTTAAATGTTTTGTTGTTATTTAAAAGTTCATGAAAATTATTATTTTCAGATAAAAATGGGAATTTTTCCAGAATCACGTTCAATCCTTTCTTCGGCTTTCTAGTTTAAACTCTAGACTTAGATATACATATTATCTATCTATCTAGACTCCATAACTGTTCATTTCTTTTTTTAAATTTGATTTTTTTTTATATTCTATCCAATTGGCTTTAATTTGTTTTGCGTTATAGATAAAATGTTGTTTAATATGATTAAATTTCAATGGTTTATCTATAGGCATATTAAGAGAAGGAGGGTGTGCAACCCTGCTTGGCCTCCGTGAATATTTTACACCTCCCGGGCCCTGTTTTAATGTTTATTAATTGATACAAAGAAAACAATTTAAGCATAATTTTTTACATTTTTATTTAAGAGGAATTGAGTTATTCTGATTTCTAATCCAACCCAATTTCGTAGTCCTTGGATATTACAAATTACAAACTCTGCTAGATCAAATTATCCTTGAAATGTCAAAGCTTTACACCATTAGATTGCGAGGATAAAAAATTTTGAGTTTGTGTCAAAGACTCGATCTTTTAATTTAGATTGCATTATCGTCATTCTTCAATTAGTAATAAAATTATGATTATTTTTTTTTGCTTGTTAGTGTCCATGGGAAGACAGGATTATAGATCGAAAAGTACGCATAATCCCTGCTGATGAAATTCTTTAAAAATTATGTTTCTATGAAGAACGAGTTAAATTTAAAGCCGGCTTATTCTTAAATATGCCTGACGCAACTATCACCGTATCTCATAGCTTCAACTCAAGGGCAAATGTATATATCATGTTGAACTAAAAAACTAATGTTTATTAGAAATATACCAAGTATATTTTTAAGATTTAAAGGGGAATATGGATTGTTTTCTAAATGAAAATTGTGGGTTTATATTTGTCTGAATGTGTTAAAATGAATGTGCGTAAAGATGTGTGTGTGTGTGTGTGATAAAAGAGTTAATCCCTGAATAAGATGGAGACTGTAAACTGTAGAGTGTACACTGTACACCGCAGCTTTAACCTTCACAAGGTTATTCTGTATACATACACCTTCTCTACCATTCTCATTCAGTTCAGTTATTGACAGGGGCTAGAAATGGTCTAGTATACACTTGTATATATACAGGGGTAGAGATGGTATAGTATACACTTGTGTATAGACAGGGGTAGAGATGGTCAGTATACACTAGTATATATACAGGGGTAGAGATGGTCTAGTATACACTTGTATATAGACAGGGGTAGAGATGGTCTAGTATACACCAGTATATATACATGTCTAGTATACACTAGTTTATAGACAGAGGGTAGAGGTGGTTTAGTACACACTAGTTTATATACAGGGGTAGAGATGGTCTATTATACACAAGTATATATACATGTCTAGTATACACAAGTTTAATGACAGGGGGTAGAGATGGTCTAGTATACACTAGTTTATCTAAAGGGGTAGAGGTGATTTAGTACACACTAGTTAATATACAGGGGTAGAGATGGTCTAGTATACACAAGTATATTTACAGGGGTAATGGTGGACTAGTATAGACCAGTATATATACAGGGTAGAGATGGTCTAGTATACACTAGTATATATACAGGGGTAGAGGTGGTTTAGTACACACTAGTATAAATGCCGGGGTAGAGATGGTCTAGTATACACAAGTATATTTACTGGGGTAATGGTGGACTAGTATACACTAGTATATAAACAGGGGTAGCGATGATCTTGTATACACATAGTATATAATATACAGGGTTAGAGATGGTCTAGTATGCAGATTTAGTATACACATAGTATATAATATACAGGGGTAGAGATGGTCTAGTATGCACCAGTATATATACAGGGGTAGAGATGGTTTATTTTACACAAGGTGACAAGAGTATATATATATACAGGGGTAGAGATGGCCTTGTATACACATTACACTGCGTATATACAAGGGTTGAGATGGTCTGGTATACACTAGTATGATATGTATGCAGTTGTAGAGATGGTTTAGAATACAACTGTCCGTACCTATTTCAGCTAATATTAATTTTCTCTCCAATTTTGTAGATATGTTCAAGGGTTATCTTATTTATTATTTTGAAAGCGATGAACTGAAATAAGTTAAATAGTTTGGAATGTGATTTAAGCTCTTTATCAGTTTACTACACCTTGGATAAATAATATTTTATTGCTTCACTGAATTTTACATTCATTGCTGTGTTCAGTTTACCGGAAAATATTTTAAAGTGCAGCTTAAATATTAAATATAAGTTAAGGAAGTGAAATATTTGTGGTTAAAGCAACAGTTCAAATATTGTATACCAGCTAGGGTACTAACTGAGTACTACTCAGCTTTGTTTGAAATAAAAATTGCTCTTTAAAAGTCAACCTACAATTATGGTGCAAATCGGTCTAGGGGTTCATGAGTTTTGATCAAACCTTTAAATAAACAAATACTACTAATGTATAAATATAAATGTAAGGTAAAAATACATTTCAAAATATAGTTAATTTGTTTTAACATTCAAAACTAAACCGAAAGCTTTTGAAAGCTTAAGCATGAAGCATGTTTTTATGAACACTGTACAGTTGACAACCCATTTCATGCTTAAACTTATTGCTAATGGAAGTACATTTTCAATTTATATAAAAAGAAAAGTTTTTGGTTAACTGTTGTTTTGAAACCAAAAAAAATCATATAAGCAAAAAGTAAGTTTTAGAAATATTTTCAGATATTTTTGAATTTTAACCATGGAGCAGAAAGGACCCCTTAAAGAGTGCGCTGCTTGGAAGAACCTTGAAGATTTTTATTCCAAGAACGGATCCAAACTTAATATCCTGGAGCTGTTCAACCAGGACCCGGAGAGGTTCAACAAGTTCTCCGTCCAGCTGGAGACTCCCTGTGATGGACCTCTACTTCTGGATTTTTCTAAGGTGGAGTAATCAACATTTATTCCTATTGAGACAGATTTATGTTTCCTCACAAAGCTGATAAAAATCTAAAATTAAAATGGTTGAAAATATCAAGATATTGAGCAAAGAATATCTCATTTTCAGGTCTGATTAGTTGAGATTTGAATTAATTTATTTATCTTATTTCATTCGATCTGATCTCATCTCATCTTATCTCATCTCATCTTGTATAGAATCGTCTGACAGAAGAGCTTCTGAAACTTCTGCTTGATTTGGCAAAGGAGAGAGGAATCCCAGAGGTATGAAACAATTTTTATAAATTTTGATTATCATAGCATATTTTTTTATTTGTTATGTCGTAAAGGTTTTATTGTGTTAATTAATTGTTTTCTTTTTTGTGAAGGCTACCAACGCAATGTTCAGCGGTGCTAAGATCAACTTTACAGAGGATAGATCTGTTCTTCATGTTGCACTTAGAAACCGGTCTAATGTTCCTATCCAGGTATTATCATTATTCATCATGTTGCATTCTTCCATTTCTTCATGTAGCACTCAGGAAACGGTCTTAAGTTTTCTATACAGTAATATCTTAATCTAGCACTTATGAACCAGTGTAATGTTCCTTTCCAGTTATTACCTTATGTGGCACGTATGAACCGGTCTCAAGTTTTATATTAAAGTACCACTAAGGAACCGGTCTAATCCTATATTCATATGGCACTAAGAAACCGGTCTAATTTTCGTCTTTAAATAAAAATGTGTATATGTAGGTTGATGGAAAGGATGTGATGCCCTCCGTGAACGCTGTATTGGACCACATGAAGGAGTTCTGCTCCAGTGTTATCTCCGGGTCCTGGAAAGGATACACGGGGAAGTCCATCACAGATGTGGTTAACATTGGTATTGGAGGCTCTGATCTTGGTCCTCTAATGGTTACAGAGGCTCTTAAACCATTCGCTGTCGGACCTAAGGTGAAAAAATTACCAAGTTTTTAAAGAGAATTTTAAAAGTGAAATGTGCGATTCACAATAAAACCCTTTAACCCTCTATCTGAGAAACATTGAGAAAAATTACGTTTCTTTCCTTTCCTAACGTGTTGAATTATGACATTTCCGCCATTGTCTCTGTAGCTTAAACCTGAAAGCGACTTAATCATAAATAAGCCATAATTGAAAATAATCAATTTTCATAGTAAAGGGGAATGGATGGATATCTTATTCATTCTTGATGAGACAAAAGTTTTAAGTGTATCGTTGTGAATCTGTAATCACCCCGTTTAAAGATGGTAAAAGTTACGTTTACCCTCTTCATACATACACCCCCTTCAATCCTGATTTATGATTATGTTCATACTGATTTATTTTTAACCATATTTATCAATTACAACAAAGTTAAAGAGTGTAACAGTTCCTAAACCTTTAACTATATGGTAATTGCTGTAATTTCTGTAAGTTCTTTGATTTATGTAATTGCTGTAATTGATTTAATTTAACTAAAAATTTATGTTTTTAAAATGTTGCAGGTTCACTTTGTATCAAACATTGATGGAACTCATATGGCGGAAACATTGAAGAAATTGAACCCTGAAACCACACTTTTCATCATTGCAAGCAAAACCTTTACAACACAGGTAGTTATACTACAGACAGACAGACAGACAGATACTCGACAGACAAGCACTTGACAGACAAGCACTTGACAGACAAGCACTTGACAGACAAGCACTTGACAGACAAGCACTTGACAGGCAAACACTTGACGGACAAACACTTGACAGATAAACATTTGACAGACAAACACTTAAAAAACAAACTTGACAAATAAACATTTGACAGACAAACGCTTAAAAAACAAACTTGACAGGCAAACTAAGACAAACTTGACAGACAAACACTTGACAGACAAGCACTTGACAGACAAACACTAACAAAACAAACTTGACAGGCAAACTAGACAGACAAACTTGACAGAAAAACACTTGACTGACAAGCACTTGACAGATAAACATTTGACAGACAAACACTTAAAAAGCAAACTTGACAGGCAAACTAAGACAAACTTGACAGACAAACTTGACAGAGGTTGACAGAGGTTTGGAGATTCAAATAATCTTTTAACAAAATTTTAAAAAGTAATAGAAACAATGTTAAACTAAAATATATTAAAATTAAAATTACAACCATTTTCACCCCTTAAATGTAAATTTTCTTATTTTCTATGTAGATGAAACTTATTTTTTTGGATAAACGTTTAAAATGGATGGATTTATTCTAGGGTTGTCATAGCTAATGATTGATATTTTAAATAACCTAACTTTGAACGGTCAAAAGATACCTAGCCCTAGTTTGATTATTGTTAGACATTCAAAAACAGAAAGACCAATGGAAAGCCTGATCAGTGATCACAATTTTATAAACAAACTGACACAAAAAGATAGACTTACGAAAGATTGACAAATTACCAGACGACAGAAAAGTATGAATGTAACTATATTGTCAAGGAAACCATCACGAACGCGACCACGGCCAAGATGTGGTTTCTGGAGAGCGCTAAGGAGGCCGGTCACGTTGCTCTGCACTTCGTCGCACTCAGCACTAACGGGCCTAAGGTCAAGGACTTCGGGATCGACGAGAAGAACATGTTCGAGTTCTGGGATTGGGTCGGAGGTGAAATACAATTTAATATATTCAGAAATAATTTTTAAAAAAGTTTGTTTTGTTAGGAAATACAATTTTACATTTTTACTTATTTAATAATTAGATTTTAGGTACTTTAACAAAGGTCTTTTCCCAAACGGCAACCTCAATCCCACGGGTACTTTCCCAAGTTACAAGTCTGGACTAGCCGCAGCGCTCGGTCCACAATTTGCAAAGGCCTAACCTTACCTTTGGGAAATTGCCGCTGGTGAAATTGCACATTTTGGGAAGTTGCCTTTAGGAAAGTTCCTTACGCCAATAATTATACTAATAAGAATTTTAACACTTCTTTTCTGAAGAGCTTTTAAAGATTATAAACGTAATAATAACTTAATGTTTTCCAGCAGTAGAAATGCGCATTGCGCAAGTCACTCTTTCAGAAAACACGCAGTTTAAAATAATCAGTTTTCAAAACTAAAACAGGGGATATTTAATTCATACTTGATCAGACGAAGCTTTTAAGGGTACTGTTGTGAATCGGGCATTGTAGTCTTTGCATGGAGGGACACCTCAAATTACGCTTACAGTCTCTTTAAGAAGAAACATGATTTGGCATTCTTATTTGCTAGTTGCAACCAAATAAGAATGTGTTTCACAATTTTTTTCTAAATTTCATCTATATCTTTCGTACTTGATACGCAAGTACATAAAAGAGAGGAAAGAACAAGATAAAGATCACAATATAATATTGTAAAGACTAGCGGTCCGCTACTGTCATCCTGGAGGTGGCGAGAGGAGGATAGGAGGATAGAAGAACAGCTACGATGAGAACCTAGATATAGGGTCTCTGAGTGGGGTGGCGATAATCTTTTTGATCTTGTGTAAAAATATGAAAATGAGATATAAAAGAATAACATTATATCTCTTAAGGTCGCTACTCCCTATGGTCTGCTATTGGTATGAGTATTGCTTTGAACATTGGGTTTGAGAACTTCGAAAAGCTTTTGTCTGGAGCTCATTGGATGGATAATCATTTTAAAACTGCTCCTCTACATCAGAATATACCTGTAATCATGGGTTTGTTTAGTTTAGATTATTATTTTTATGATGATAATTACAGTTGGCAAAACTCTGGAAAAGGTAGACGACTGTAAGACTCAGGTTGTGATTTTTTTTAGTTTAATAAACATGATACAAAGCAATTGTGCATTGTACATAGGCCCATTTCCTACAAAAAGTTTATATTAGGTAAAACGGAGATAAATGTCGTCTTCTTATTCCAAAGTTTTATGGATATCATATCATATATTATTATCATATTTCTGCGCCAATACATTTTTCCAAGGGTCTATATAATTCCATTTCTGGTCCGAAATGGGATCGGGGTTTAAAGTACATTTAGGGGCATGAAATTACACTCTCCGTGTCATTGTGAACTCTGGCAATTTTTGTATGTACGTGTTCGTGTACTGCACTTCATAAATATGTACTGCATTTGGGGTGTTGAAAGATATAACTATCAGTAATCAATACAAGGGAGAAATTATAATAAAGAAAAACAAGACAATCCCTTTCACTGCTGAAGTATACTATAGATCCTGCAGTATGGAATTCGTTCTACAACTTAGCATCATACTTGATCAATTTCTGCCCCTAATATCAATTAATTAACATTTGGGATCTTTTAGACGGAATTATATGGACCCCTGCATTTTTTTAAATGTATTATCTATTCAAAAAATTGTTATCATGATTAATATTATGATTATTGTTGCGGTTATGGTTATGGCATGACCATGACTATGACCATGACCATGACCATGACCATGACCATGACATGACTATGACCATGACCATGACCTTGACCATGACAATTACCATGACCATGACCATGACCATCTTCTGATTTGTATATAGAAGTTTATATATTGATCTCAAGAATTTTAAGACCATTTATACGTATTGGTAAAACTGTTGAATATGTTAATATTAAGGTATGCTTGGTGTCTGGTATCATAATTTCTATGGATGTGAAACCCACGCTCTTCTTCCATACGATCAGTATTTACATAGGTAATTATGACTCGATTAAAGGGAGAGACTGGCTATACATTGTAGTTGAGCTGTGAGTGCAGTATTGTAGAGATATTTTTCAGGATTCATTGAGACATATAAGACGTTTTTACTGTGTATAATTGTTCTTCAAGAGTGCAAATTCAATCTTTAAAATCCTCCTGGATGGTCTATTTTAGAGGAATGATTTTTAGAATCCTTTTTTATTATTACTCAAGAACGAACATAAAAAATGTTACCAAAATTCTGCAATAAACTAATAAGTGAGACAAGTGCTAATTTCTGAAATAGACTGAAGACGTAATTTCAAGGAACCCTCCATTTATAGATTAGCATATCCGATTTAAGTCTGCACCCATATAAGCTTAGTCTGAAGTATATTAAGATATCCATGATTTCACTTTCAAAAAAAATGGGAAACCGGAAAACTTCAGAACGAACGTCAACTAAGTTGTTCCTTCTACTTAAGAAATGTCGCTAAGGCTTGTGTAATTTTCAATTGTTGCAACTAAAATGTTCTTTTTAGAAATCATTAAAAACTAGAAAATCTCTAATCTCTAATGACAATTCACAATTAAAAGAAAAAGAAGACAACGATGATTTCAATGTTTTCTGGCTATTCTGTTATTGCTGTTTTTGTTAAAAGAAATAAGAATCAGGAGGAACAGACAAGATAAGTTCTTCTAAAGCTTGAACAAAATACTTAAGGAATGTCAACCCCATTGTAGCATTCTACATTGTGAACTATCCCATTTAATTTTAAGTTAAAAACATGTTAAAAATAACAACTACAAATGCTCATAACTAATGAATTTTGAAAATTCCGCCTTTTCCCAATTTCTTAAAATGCTTAACTAATCAAGAAGAATATCATAATTGTTCCCTTTCCATTAAGGGATACAAAGTTATTAACATTAGGCAGGGTGTCCCAATAAACATGCCACGTATCAATTACATGATATTGTTCAGGTTTGCTGCGTACTTTCAGCAAGGGGATATGGAGTCCAACGGGAAGTACGTTACTAGGAGTGGAGCTCAGGTCGATTATTCAACAGGTTAGCTGGTGTACACATGTACTCATGTACTCGTATTCACATGTTCTGCTTTACGGATGTGCTCATTCACATGGTATACACATTAACTTTGAATAGAAATTTCAACCATTGTTTAAGGACCCATTGTATGGGGTGAGCCTGGAACTAACGGTCAACATGCTTTCTATCAGCTGATTCACCAGGTAAACAAAGTTGAATGATAATAATCAGGGGCGTACACAGGAATTTGTCCAGGGGGCTTAACAATCATTTTCTAAAATTGAGGGGGGGAAATTCAAGATTTTTTTAGTCTAAGACACCCCCATGATTTTCCACAAAAAAGGTCAGCCCATTCAGTCCAGCTGTAGACAACATATATATATATATGAATGTCTTGTTTTATTATATAGATAATTAGCGAATTTTTTAGTCTATAACGCCCTCCGGCCACCCATGAGTGTTCACAAAAAAAATTAAGCCCAATCGGTCTAGCCGTTTGGCCGGCTATAGGCAACATAAATATATACGAATGTCTTGTTTATTAAATAGATGATAATAATAATAATAATAATAATATATCAGGGAACGAAGGTGATCCCTTGTGATTTTATTGCCCCTGTGAACACTAAGAATAAGATAAGGGAGGGACTCCACCACTCCATCCTACTCTGCAACTTCCTTGCACAGACAGAGGCTCTAATGAAAGGGAAAACAAGACAGGTAACTTCACACTTTTTGTTTTTAAGGGACTGTTCATCTTATTAGCGTAACCTTCCATTTCAACAGTTTGAAGAGTAACAATAAGGAATATATCCTCGTTTTTTTTATCATAGATATTTGTAAATTTTGACAAATTTCTTTCTTGACTCTGTTGCATGAATCCTTAATTTCTTAGAGAATCCATAAATTGACAAAATCAAGGATTGCTTTGATTTTTGATTAACAAGTTTTTGATTATTATTTGAATGTACTGTTATAAATCTAGTATGTAACTAGTTAAACAAGGTTTTTTCACGTTGACGGTTCATTTAAGATTAAACATTTATTAAGCTCAATTGTGAACATATTCTCTTTGTAAACATTGTAAAACAAAAACAAACAAAAATTTATTGGATTTTATAAAACAAATTCGTGTATTTTCAAAATTTTCGAAATCGAATTTTGTTGGAGGAAAATTTTTGAAAATTAAATTATCTATAAACCTTCCCGTGGGTTACGAGAGGTTCCACAACAAATTTCGGCCTGATCGGTTCAGCCGTTTTATCGTTTATTGGATACAAACAGACAAAGTAAATATTCAGAAGTAATTTTTGCAAAAGGATCCAATATGGTTTAACTGATACTTTCCTGTCAACCTGAACATTTTTCTAAAAAAATGGAAAAACTAAAAATTTAAATCATTTCAATTTGTAGAGAATTTCAAAAGTTTTTCAAGTGAGGTCATTTTTTTTGAATTAATATTAACCCCGAATATGATTTAGGAGGTTGATGATGAATTAAAGAAAGCTGGAAAATCTGATGCTGAAATTAAAAGTATTGGTCCTCATAAAGTATTCAAGGTAATTTATATCTTGAGTTTAAACAATTTGAAAACTTTGATATGATTTTATTTTTACTTTGACCTTGACTTTGACCTTGACCTTGACCTTGACCTTGACCTTGACCTTGACCTTGACCTTGACCTTGACCTTGACTTTGACCTTGATCTTGACCTTGATCTTGACCTTGACTTTGACCTTGACCTTGACCTTGACCTTGACCTGGACCTGGACCTGGACCTTGACTTTGACTTTGACTTTGACTTTGACTTTGACTTTGATGAATGCACTTTTCTTTAATGAAAACTTCCAATGATATTAATTTAAAATTGCAGTTTGAAAAAAATTCAAACATTTGGACGAAGAACTTAAAAAAAGCAGATGTTTTTAAAATATTAATTCTTTTTGTATCAGGGGAACCGACCCACCAATTCCATCATGGTGGACACCGTCAACCCCTTCACCCTCGGGGCCATTATTGCCATGTACGAGCACAAGATCTTTACCCAGGTCAACTTTATCAAATTTAACATTTCCTAAGTTAAAGGGAATTTAAGCGTTATTTCAAGTGACCCTTCAGGCAAAGACGGTAATTTCTGATTTGCAACGGTACCCTTGAAACCTTATTCTGATCATGAATGTGGAAGATACCGTCGTTTTTCTGTCAATTTCTCCACTGCTTCTTATAAAGAAGGAATGCGCAATGTTTCTGAGTTTTATTTAATGGAAGTTTCTAGAAAAGTAGTTTAATTGTTATATTGCTCCAAATTGTCTCCAAATAAATATTTAGCATAATACCTTTCCTTGAATATATTTTTTTTTTCAAACAAATAAAATAAATTAATTTAGGGAGTTGTTTGGGATATCAACTCATACGATCAGTGGGGCGTGGAGCTCGGAAAACAGTTAGCAAAGGTATATTTTTAAAAAAATTAAGTATTGTATTTTATCCCATATTTTTAAGGCAATTGAGCCTGAGATCGAAGGCTCTGAGCCTGTGAGCTCCCATGACAGCTCGACAAATGGACTCATCAACTTCATCAAGGCGCGCAGATCATAAAGGTTCGCATTTTTCAGGAGTTCCTAATCGAATTTGTCGATTTTTCTCATCTGTAATACATTATTAGATTATTTAAGTTGGTATCTAATGAATTTATATTATTCCTTATTTTTGTATTATTATTTTATAAAAGGTATTTTTGTGTACATAATACATATTTAAAGATTTTGATACAATATTCATGCCAATATGTCTGGAAAATACAAATTTTTCAATTTAATCTCAAATTATTTCAAGAAAATGAAATACTAAAATCCGCTAACTTGGGCGAAAAAAGAACCCCTTTTACTCTACTAAAGTAAAACAATTTTTATCTGGAAAATATCATCACTTTTATTTTGTTTTAGGAAAGAGCCTACTCAAGAAAGAAGTCTAGATGATGTAGCACAGCTTATATTTTATGTTAGAATTTTTATTGTTTATTTGCTAAATTGTATTTTATTGTGAATTTGACATCAGAAATGTGATTTTATAGAAATATAAACCATGCAAAGTAATGTTAGAGGTTCAGTTTTATAAAAGTCTGTTCCTTAGATTGGTTAAAACCCCTAGTCATGACGTACACTTTATGATGTAGATCTTCCCTAGTATCAACATGTACTGTTACTACTGTACTGCAGTTATTTATTATGAAATAAATAAGTGTACATCAGTATTATTAATGTCTTCCCATAATGTGTATTTAGTGTATTTTAATTGCTTGTTTTCAGACTAAAATGGGGACGCTGAGTTTAATTTCTCTGCTGAAGACGACTTTTATCGGATCTTTCTTAGATAAAAGGATTCAACAATGTTTAATATGTTCAAGGTCAAAAACACGAAATAGCGTTTCCAAAGCGCTACTAGACTAGAGAGGGTGGTGACCGCTCTTTCTTGCAGTAATGCATCACAGGCCATTTTTATTTATGGCCGAAATCCGAATATTTTTTTGAAATTTTTTTCTAAACTATAAAATTTTTAACGTGTGACCATCTACTATGTACACTTGGTTTTTCCTAGTCTCTTCAAGTTAATATGTTCCACTTTCTCTACTGTTACAACGCACATAAAATAATCAATTGAAGTGATCCAAATCGATGAGAATATTTCCAATTACTTCATAAAAACCAAATCTAAATTTATGAGTTTGAACTTCTAAAATGAATATGCCTGGGGCTACTAAAAAAAGGGTGTTGGACATTTCATGGAAAAAAAAATTCAAGGATAAGATATCTAATATTTTTTCTGAGACATTTTAAGGTTTCGGGTTAATAAAAAATACGTAACAATTTCAGAAAAGGTAATTAGTTTGAAACACAATAACCAGAGAGATAGTATAAAGAGGAGGAGGGTATATGATCTATGAGGAAAGAAAAAAATGTATCTTATCTATGAAAAATATTCTCTGTCTATGAAACGTCTTGTCTATGAAGTGTCCGAACACCCATAAAAGTAAAAGTGAGTTAGTGAGGAAACGCAAAGATCAAGGCTCTACGACACTTTAAAATCTCATTTATTTAAAAATTGAACCAATTTTTCATAACATTTGATACAAAATATACAAAATACAAATCATATTATTTAGGCTTAATGGTAAACAGAGAAACATACTTCTAGTTTCTTTCTTCTCAGATATAGTGTTGGGTTCTCTCATTCACCAGGTATAGCCCCCTCCTCTAAAATATGCTAATTATTCTTTGAACTTGTATTTTTTCATTGAATGTTCCTTCTCTTGCGTATCTTATTAAATAAAATACACTGTTTTAAACCTTAACATTAGATAGCTAATGGAACATGTTTAATTTATCGCTTAATATGTATATACTCATTTAAAAATTTTAAAAAGTATTGTTAAAAAATTATAAAAATTGTCTTAAAGATAATTAAAACTTAAAATTTTATTTTGAGTCTGTAGTTTCCCATGAAATTGGATATTTATAAATGCGGTTTTATGTTGAACTGGTTCAAGCTCAAATTGTTAAAAGTTGTTATTTTTAGAAATTTTTAACTTAGAAAAGCTAGGACCAGCAATTTGTGAAGTTTGTTTTCCACCGATGTGGTTTAACCACTGTTTCCTAGTTGAACTACTTCTCTCTTTTTTATTAATTTCCATGTAAGGTTGGACTTCTGGATGTAAAGNTTTTTCAGTTATGATTTAAAATAGTCTAATGAACCATGAAATTGTACAGTATACACAGACCATTTTTATTATTAATTTGATTTTCTAACTACTGGTAAAACTATTTGCTTTTAAACAACAGCATATTCAAAAATGATTGCTGAAATGTCAACTTCACATTCCACAGTTTTCTGGGTCGTACTGTACAATAATTCACATGCCACAGTAGATTTTTTAATTATTTTTTAGTAGATTATTATAATTATATCAGTAAAAACATAAACAGACGGATAATAGTCTGACTTGATTTGATTTGATTTAATTTAATTTGATTTCTTATTTATTTATTATTTAGTACTGAGACTACAGTTCGCTTTCTCAAACGCCTCATCCTTTGGCTGATGCAGGAAAAAAAACATTTGTTATTATTTCATGTAAATTGGAAACTTGTTAAAGGGAGTGACCGGCTATGTAAGGTAGTTGAACTGAGTATGCAGTGTTGTGGAAAGCTTCTTTCGGATTCATTTGAGCCATATAAAACTTTTTAAAGATCTGTAAATCCTGAGTTTGAGCGCAAATTCGACGTTCAAAACTCCTACTTTGGGGGTGGATACGTTTTCAGAATTAGTTTTTTTTTAATTATTAAATAACGACAACGAAAAATAAAGTAAAAGATGGTTGGGAACATATTTCTCAAAAAAAACTTGTCAATAAATCAATGCTAGAATCAATTATTTCGTTTTCATCATTATATTGAATTTCATAATTTCTTTGAATTTATTCGTCAAGATTACTTATTTTCGATGATAAGATTAATTTTTATTTTCTCAACCGGTTCCGAAACAATTTATTAGTTTACTGTAGAGTTTTGTTTAAATTTTTTGTCGTCGTTATTTAATAATTGAAAAAAAACGAATTCTGAAAACGTATCCACTCCCAAAGTAGGAATTTTAAACGTCGACTTTGCGCTCAAACTCAGGATTTACAGATCTTTAAAAAGTTTAATATGTCTCAAATGAATCCGAAAGAAGTTTTCCACAACACTGCATACTCAGTTCAGCTACCTTACATAGCCGGTCACTCCCTTTAATGTTAAATCAACATTCTCTAAGAAGATGCGTCTTGGAAATAGATAACTGTTTAGGTTAATTATTAATTAAAGGTCTAATTTTTCTCTCATTTTCTGAAACATATCAAATATATTTTTACCCTTGTATCTTTAGCCTTAAAAAGGTTGATTTATAATTTGTAATTTAAAATTCATATTTTATTTTTTAAAAATTGAATTAAAAATGTTTGTTTTCTCAGAATCCTGGGGGATTAAAATTGAATTCGGTTCTTAGCCAAGCTTTAGGAAACTTCTTCCTTTATCATATTCATCTTTGGGTAAGAGTTTTTATGTTCCTTTATCATATTCATCTTTGGGTCAGAGTTTTTATGTTCCTTTATCATATTCATCTTTGGATCAGAGTTATTATGTTCCTTTATCATATTCATCTTTGGGTCAGAGTTTTTATGTTCCTTTATCATATTCATCTTTGGATCAGAGTTATTATGTTCCTTTATAATATTAATCTTTGGGTAAGAGTTATTATGTTCCTTTATCATATTCATCTTTGGGTAAGAGTTATTATGTTCCTTTATCATAATCATCTTTGGGTAAGAGTTTTTATGTTTCTTTATCATATTCATCTTTGGGTAAGAGTTTTTATGTTCCTTGATCATATTCATCTTTATGTTAGATTTTTTATGTTCCTTTTATCATTTTCATTCTTTGGGTCAGAGTTTTTGATTTCCTTTATCATTTTCATTCTTTGGGTCAGAGTTTTTATGTTTCTTTATCATATTCATCTTTGGGTCAGAGTTTTTATGTTCCTTTATCATAATAATCTTTGGGTCAGAGTTTTTATGTTCCTTTATTATATTCATCTCTGGGTCAGAGTTTTTAATCTTTCTTTACCATATTCATCTAAAGGTCAGAGTATTTATGTTCCGTTATCATATTCATCTTTGGGTAAGAGTTTTTATTTTTCTTTACCTTATTCATTTCTGGGTCAGAGTATTTAACCGTTCTTTACCATATTCATCTAAGGGTCAGAGTTTTTTATCTTAATCATATTCATCTTTGGGTCAGAGTTTTTTTATTTTCCTTTATTAGATTCATCTATTATATCATATATCTATCCGGATCCTAAGCACTGTATTTTTATCATTATTATTATTATCTAGGTAACCTATGTTTATATGATTGTTCCAACCCTGGTTAGTTGGTTTTATTTCTTCTCTCCGGCGTTTAAATTTCTTCCTTTAACCCTGCAGATATCTTGTTTAGGTAAATATAATTTTATTACGCTTCCAGGGCATGTTCAATTTTAACTTTAAATTAATGCTCTATCTGCAATAATTACTTTTTTATTTTCAAATAACAAATTAAATTGTCGATTTTATTTCTTGATTTATAAAATTTCCCGGCCCGGGATCATGTTAGGTCCCACAAAAAAATTGGACGCGATCGGTTTAGCCGTTTTTACGTTTTTTGGATACTAACAAACGAGTGAACATATATAATATAAAAATTGTTTCCTTTTAATTTCTTATGAAGATCGAGAAAATTATTTTTGAACTCAGCTCAGGGGGGACGGACTTGCACAAACATATGATAATATGAGGGGAATCTCATATTTTATTACATATAATTATATAGTAACATACGTTGTCCTGGTTTGTTCTTATTCATGGTTACTCCCGCAGTTTATCCGTGCTTTGTAATAAAAAATGATTTTTCCTGAAGATCCCGTGGAATTTTCAAAAAAGTATTTTTGTTAGTTAGATGTTCATGGGTTTCTTGAAAAATGTCAGATAATTTGGACCAGCCGTTTGGTCAGCTATTATATAATATGAGCGAAGAGAATATTTATAATTATAAACATTTTTATAACAAATTGTCAAATTTTTTACATTTTAATTAAAATTCTAAAAGTTCTGAATATTTATATCAGGTGACCTTCTGACGCTGGTTTGCGTACATGTTTTCTGCTTTTATGCGTACGCAAGAAGAATTACAAGATCACAAATTAGGAAAATAATTAAATCAGAAAAATAAACTGTAGTGTACACTGTACAGTGAATACCAATTAAACTGTAGTGTACACTGTACAGTGAATATCAACTAAATATACTGTACAGTGAATATCAACTAAACTGTAGTGTACACTGTACAGTGAATTTCAACTAAATATACTGTACAGTGAATATCAACTTAACTGTAGTGTACACTGTACAGTGAATATCAACTAAAACTCGTATTTTTGTGTCAATACAAATTTTTTTTAAAGGGACTGTCATTTAATTTTTCTTCAGTGAATTACCTTTATTTAATTAACAATTACGAGGTTTTTGCGTTTTTCTTCTTTTAAATTTGTTGAATTCTGGCCATTTTTCTTCATTGTCTCTGCAGGATGAATCAACAAGTCATTTTTATCGATGAATACAGATGTTAATCGGACATGCCACTCCTTAAATGAAGGGTCACTTAAAATTACGTCTTCTGAGCGAAAAACTTTAGAATTTTGGATATCGAGATCATTTCTTTTTATTAAACTTGAGATTGATTTAATCTTACAGTAATATTCAGGAAAGTGTCTAAAAGGCAACCAACCAGAGTGTCGATTGTAGAAAACGAACAGTCAATCAGAAGCCGAGAAACTTTTAATTTTTGACCGCGATTCTGAAGAAAATCTAAAGTGAAACAGATCTATTAATCGGGATTAAGAGTATCCAATACACAAAATTTCGCCTCTATTTCTTTAAATTTTTAATTTTTCTGATCTAATTTTAAATTTAGTGGATTAATAGCGCTTGCTAGATTATTTGCTGGTAAAAAATACAACCCGCTGCGGAAAAGGTTAAAATTTGTTTTCTGAATTAATAAATTAATTAGGCTAATAATTAGTTAATGGGTTATTTAGACCATTACATGTTAAAGCAAGTAGAATTAAGTTGTATTTCTTATTCGACTTTTTTGAAGATTGATAATTTTATTAAACATATTGCTCATTTAATTTATTCCTGCATTTAAGGTACAGTGTTGCCTACAAAGAATGAGACTGTAAAGACGACCCAAAACTATAAAAATATGACGAATTAAAGCTTGATTTTTTTATCTCTGCATTCAATTAGTATTTTGATTGGCACAGAAATAAGCCATTCTTTGCCTACAGGAATCCTGAATACAAGAAAACAGAATTAACAAATTCCGTGCAATCGTCTCTGAAGTCTCATCCATTCTGGGTAACCCTTATTGACAAAGATTGACACTCATCCAACTCATCTCACGAAACCTCGAGTACACATACTGCAGAGTTTGCAGGGGTTTGATATAAACTTGGATTCTGGCACATGTTTAGATTATACAATTAGTAGGCATTTTGCCAGCGTACACATTAATACTTAATAATCTGAGAGATAGATAGATATTTCCCCCCTAAAATGTATACAAAATATTAGAAAGTAAACAAATAAAAATAATTTGTGTTTAAGAAAACACTAAAACAACTTTAATTTTTCTAAATTTTACAGTTTTGCCCAGAGCCCAAAACTTAAGGAGTATCGTTCTGAAAACCAGGTTTGGAACCCGGGTTTCACGAATGGGGTTAGGAAGTTTTGTCTTGTCGATATCAATATTTCAGTTTTGATATATTATTTGATTTAGTTTCTTCATATTCTTTAAATCAAAATATACACAAATGTTAAGTCCCAAAAAAAGGAAACTGGGAGCTTTGTTCAACGATATTCTTTTAAATTTCGGGCTCAGCTTGCCTGCTGTACTCAGTACACTGAACCTCTATCAACATCTACTCTTTGGTTACCCTGTATCTTAAAAATTATTTTCTCAAATGATTCAGAAAATATTTTTTTAAAACTATTTTCTTAAAAAATTTAATTATTAATTATAAACAAAGTTCAAACAAAAAACAATGATTATTTTGTTTTTATATCTATCCTCTTGAAAAATCTGACATTTTTTGTGACCCCTTTTTTATTAAGAGTTGATTCCGCCGATGTAACTGTGGAACATCTTTTCCTTGGAACTCTAGTATTTACAATTCTTCTCTTTCTTCTTCCCACCTCACTCACATTCTTCGCTGTATTCTTCTCGTTGAGGTACCACGTAGTAAACGGACTATTAACGTAATACAGGGGGGGGCAGGACCTTTGAACCCTTCTGACGGATTCAGTCCCATCTAGCACCCCCCTCACTTAAATCCTGTATACGCCCCTGACGTAATTTAAATGGCTTCACAAACAATTCATAATTATACCCCTTAAAATTATATTTATTATTTTGTTGGCTTTCGCGGAAGGTCCCACATCTCCCACAGAAAGACGCTTTGTCATTAAATGGTACTTCCTCAATAAGTTAAAGTCAAAAGGTTATATTTTTTAACTTTTCCTTATAAACTTTTCTATGTTTAAAAATACTGCAAATATTTTTATTGTATTTGTATTTTTATTCTCTAGATATTGTGGTCTAAATATGAAAAATAAAGCTTGACGAGCCTAGTTACCATTATTCGTTTACTATTTTGATTAAGCTATAAAGATCCCATGCCAAATAAAAACTTCAAAGACTTCAAAAATAATAAGCGCCATTTTGTTTTCTAGGATGGGAGCAGTTGCTGGGCAGCAAGTAATACGATCAGCTGTTTATATTCTTCAATGGACGCCTCAATCACATGAAGCAATGAAGATCTGAATTAGCGAAAAGACGAAATAAATATTTACATTTTTATGATTAAAACTTGTGTGATAACAAAGTTTCAGTTATAACCAGGGTTTCCAACGCAAGTGGATTTTACTTGCAATCAATTGTGAGCCCATTAATTCAGCGCAATTCCAGGCAACGGAATTCCTGATTGGAAGTTGAGTAAATTGTGATTGTTCCGCTAGGTGATCACAGGAGGGAGGAAACCCCCGGACGCTTCGAGCCTCCTCCATGCAGATACAAGCCTCCCAGATTTGCCAGAAAGACCAAGCCTCCACCATGCAGTAAGAGCCTGCGCTGTGCAATAAACGGAGCCTCCGCTATACAGCACAGCTTCCTGACAACTCTTGTTTTTTACATGTGAAGATTTTTTTTTTCATTTTTTTCAACAAAATGGCGCAAGAATTTTATTTAAAACTAATGTTGTTTAATGATTGTCATGATTTGTATCTTATATTGACTCAAAGTGGTTTTTATGATTTATATCATACAATAAAACATTTTTGTCGCAGTAAGGAGGCCATTTGGAAATGCATTTCTAAAATAACTTTAATCTTTGATTTAAGCAATACCTTTTCGGTGAATTTTCTTAGATTCAGATTATTTGTGTCACTGTTGTCAAATTTTTCATTATCTAAATCTGATAAAACAAATTAAAAAATGGTATTGCTTAAATCAAAGATTATAAAATATCTGAAAACAAAAATACTTTCCGAGTTTTCTCTAAAAATATTTTCCTTTTTGCGAGAAAATTGTTTCAAGTTTTAGAAACCACTTGACTTGTCATAATTAGTCGCAATTTATATTTAAATATTCTACAGGGCGGAGGCTCGCTCTGCTTAACAAATCTTGGAGGCTCGTATCTGCAAAGCAGAGGCTCATGGTGTCCGTCGCTTTCCTCCCTCATCACAGGTCATAAGCAGTTTGCCTTTTCGTACTCATCGAGCAATATTGGACATCAAAATAGAAACAAACTTAAAATAAATTGAGAATAAAGAAAGAAAAGAAAATATTTTGACAAAGAAAATCAATCCGAATCAAATAAATATTATATTTTGTGTCTACTGCGTAATATGTATTTTTTGACATAAGAGAGAAAAATAAAGATGTGATGTGATATTTCCCCGTCATTTTACCATGAAACATGTGATATTCAATTCCCCGCGTAATGTAGCTATCTCAGACTAAGGGGGTTGGAGCTAAACCCCCCCTCTTTTGTAAAAAGAATCAGTAAATCAGTAAAGTAGCTGTTATAGAGAAAAAAATGGAAAATGTACAGTTATTATGTAATTACTAATTATAAACTATGATATCTAATTCATAATATTAGAAGTGTGCATGGAGGATCCCTTGAAATTAACGTAGTCCCTTTACAGAGATCTACGTCGTCATTTAACTCCCATTCATTGTAGATCATCCTGAACTTATATGTTCTCTTTCATTCATTTTTGAAATATCTTATTTACAAGAATTATGTTACAAAAAAAGAGTTTATTATTAATTTTATCAAGTTTCTGTTAAAACCTTTTAATCTTTTAGGAAAGTTCATGACTTTGATCCGGATCCATATTTTGTCAGGGCGGTTCTAGGATCCCGATACGGATCAGCTTAAAAAATTAAATGCTTCCTAAGTAATGTTTTAAGGAACTGTGGGCGCAATTTCAAATGACCCCTACGTTTGATGAGTAGGTTGTTCGATTCATAATAGTTTTCTTCAAACGTATGCCTGTTCCTCAGACTCTCATACACTCTACTATAGGCTGTGCAGGTCTCTAGTGTCCTGGCACGTCATGCTACGGTTTCAAGTAATGTTTTTCGACTGACATTTCACGACCATTTGTTTCATTCAGGGGTTAAGTTTTACAATTTTTGTAGAAATACTCCAATTTTAAACATAGAACATAACGTTTATGAACATTGTCTATTTTAAAGATTTAGCATTTCCTATTCAAAGAATCCTTAAATATCCCTGAAAACAAATGACTCCTGATTGGTCGTGTACAGTATTTGTACACAATAGAACATGCTGTGGAAAATATCGCATATTATAGGTGTTAATCGATCTCTTATCTCTGGTCTGTTCCAAGAATGTCTACAGAAATGCTTATAACCCAGCCAATTTGCCACAATTCGATTAACTACGTGTTTGGCTTCGATGATCATTCAACGGTTTAAATGGTATCGTTGTAATCCAGGTTGTATGTAAAATAAGGTTGCTTAATCTCGATACGCTCCATGGACGGGAAATGTTGTCTTTTAAGTTATATTCCGTATATGACGTCACTGATTATAAAAGCGAGAGTGGCGTCATCAGGAAGACATTTTCCGTACATTAGAGAGCATCGAGAGTAAGCAACCTAATCATATGAACTTGGTTGTTATTCGGGTGATGTTATCTTTTAATGGAGACGACGGAGGGAACCCCCGGACGCAATAAGCCTCCGCCCTGCGAACACGAGCCTTCACCATGCTGTAAGAGCCTCCGCTATGAAGTAAACGAGACTTAACTGTACAGCACAGCTTTCTTATAATTCTTGATTTTAACAAGTAATAAAGATTTATTTTATTTTTTAGCATAGTGGCACAAGAATTTTACTTAAGATTAATGTTTAAAGATTGTTATGATTTGTATCTTATATTGACTTATAAAGTGGTTTATAAGATTTAAGTTTTACAATAACATTTTTTACACAGTAAGGAGACGATTTGGAAATTAATTATCTAAGTCTGATAAAAGTTTCAAAACAATGTATCGCTTAAATCAAAGATTTTAGAATAGTAAATAAATTATTTTCAGAATATTTTTTCAACAAGTTTTCCTTTTTGCGTAAAAATATTTCAAATTTTATAAACCACTGAACTGAATAATTAGTCTCTATTTATAAATATTGATTAATACTTCTGATCTTTGGAAAACTTCTTCCGCCATTATGATGAAAAAAATACAACAAATTCTTTACTAAATGTAAGAAACAAGATCTGAGTATTACGGAAATTATTCTGTACAGCGGAGGCTCGGTCTGCATGGAGGAGGCTCGGTCTGCCTAGCAAATCTGAAACGCTCATGTCTGCTAAAGGAGAGGCTCATTGCGTCCGGGGGTTCCCTCCCTCTGGAGAGTCCCTTCAAGTCTATGTTTTAAGAGCATCTTTTAGTACATCATGGCAACGTCTCTTACAAAAAAATGACTTTAAGTGTAATATATATATTCCAATGATGGAAAATTACAGAGTGACAAAATCAAAGTTAAAATATAAAAGAATAACCTTTAATCAGATGAACTATGTGAATAGTTAAATTAAAAAAATATGGCGTGTAATACAAAAAAAATAAGCAGATTAAAATTGTCTTACAGAGCATTGGTAGAATATTACTTGACAGAGGGGTGGGGGGTTCAATAATCAAAAGAATGACAGTAAGGAGTGAAGGGGGGGGGGGTCAAAGCAAGAGGGGGGAGTTAGGTTGCTAATTACATTTTATTTATTTCTCCTCACACCACTCATTCTCCTTCCTCACCTTAAATACATAACTTATGAATATTTGTCTGATATCACCATCTAATTAAACTCAAAATTTCGCGGATTTTTTCTGTCAGTATTTTTAGATTAATGTTAAACGACAATTTTTTCTAGGCTATTTTAAATTTTGACAATTTTTACTGTCAATTAACCTTCCCTAAATTCAAGGGAGATACTACAAACAATTTGGATCGAATTGGTTCTAACGTTTTAACGTTTACTATATAATAACAAACCAACTAAATTGTTAATAAATAATAAGCTTTAGAATACCTGCTCCTCCTCGCTGGGAGTGAAGTCGTTCTTGATGTTGAAAGTTTTCCTGATCTCCTCCGGGGTTTTTCCCTGCAGGAAGTTCATGTAATTAAGTAGAGATGTGCATTATTTATGAAAACGTTCTAGATTATTCCGTGAACGATGGTGTCGTTCGGAAAAAAACGATGTTCAAATAAATGAAATGATCTTTTTTAATAAAGAACAATAAAAACTACCTTTAGTTAATGAATGATTTCTAAATTGTTTATTCCAATGAACTTAAAACAAAACCTATTAAGTTAATTAATGAACAAATGAACTTTTCGAAAGATTTTGAAAAAAAATATAGTTTTTTTTAAATTAATGAACGATTTTTTCGAACAAACTCTTTCTTTAGAAAACGATCGTTTATTTAATTAATTGAACTAACAATTCTACTAAATGATCGTTCAGTGAGAAAACGAACAAATTAGATGAAAAATTTACGATATTATAGGAAAGGACGAAATAATTTTCTTTCGAAAGATTGAAAAAAAAGAACTCACCCATGGATCTCATATCTACGCCAGCGGAAAAATTTTTTGGGAAATAATTTAGGAATGATTTTGAAGGATTCTTACCACCGAATTAAGGAAAATTTATGAACTTTTAAGTTTCAAGAAACCATTGAAGATTTAATAAATTTAATTTATGTTAATATTAACATACAAATGTTAATGTTAATTGATATTAACATATAAATAAACATCAATTGTTTAAAGTCAATGTTAATGTTAATGTTAACTTTATATACTGACAACCATATACTTCAATGTTAATGTTAATGTTAATGTTAACATTATATACTGACAACCATAAACTTTAATGAATTGTTTAAAGTCAATGATAATGTTATTGTTAATGTTAATGTTAATGTTAACCTTATATACCGACAACCATATACTTCAATGAATTGCTTAAAGTCAATGTTAATGTTAATGTTAATGTTAACTATACATACTGAAAACTATAACTTAAATGAATTGTTTAAAGTCAATGTTAATGTTAATGTAAAGGTTAACTTTATATACTGACAACCATAAACTTGAATGAATTGTTTACTACATCGAATTGTCTTAACTTAACTTGAACTATATGTTTTGGTTCATATGAGCCAATTTTTTATGTCTATTTGAACTCCTAGACGCAGCGCTCGGCCTGTTAACTATTCTTTGATGCTCATGCGAATATCAAAATTATAAAACTGATCTTTTTTAAAAAATAGTTCATATGAGCAAATATCGTGTTAATTTGAATATACATGACGTCATGTCAGCACTTCAAACGACCAATGGTTCTAACGACCAATTTTTCAAACGGCATTAGTTCAAACAAATATCCACCTAATGTCCCCCAAGTCTCTGTGAATGCAAGGGTCAGTTCATTGCAAGGGTGTTTACTGGGCTAATGATGGGTAATAACTTTGCTACAACTTCAAGGATTTCAGATATTAATAGTCACACCACAAATACTGTCTATCTTCATAGATTCAAACATTTTAAAACGGTATTCTGTAAAAATTATGCCAAATTTTAAACAGAAAAAAAACAAGGAAAAAAATAACCAAAATAACCATAGTTTTGGGATTCAGTTTTGCATGAAAAATTGGTTGTATAAGGAAAGCTAATGTTAAAAATAAACAATTTCAAAGTTTGCAGATTTTCTCAGATTTGTGTGGAACCTTTAATAAGTCCGAAAACGTTGACATAAAAAAAGTAATTACCCATCACTATCCTATTTTTTAAATGTTAAGATTATGATTAAAACGTAGAAATAAGATAACAAAAATTTCACCTTTATCATGTTTGCAACAGTCTTACAAGTGACATCGAGCAGTCCCTAAAATATAAAAATTTTATTTAAGAAACTGTTTTTTAGGTCAGATCTGACTCTTGAATGCTTCATCTCAATATGGGTCCTTGTAAATTTGAGAATACATGCTTGATCCCGCAAAAACAGTTATTCCTGCATGATGTGACCACCACGGGATATCGAATAGGAATGGAAATCTGCACTCCTGTAGATCGCATCTGAAAGTTTTTGCATTTGGGATATTAAGTTAACTTTCAGAATTGTAAATAAATAAATAAATAAATAAACAAACAAACAAACAAACAAACAAACAAACAAATAAATAGATAGATAAACGCTGGTTAAAGTCAGCTAATTCCTTTTTATTATAAACAAAATCTTAACAAAATTTAAGTTAAGTGTTTACGGCTGATCAGAATAAAAAAAATTGCTGAAAGGATCTGTCTATAGGGGAAATTTTAAAAAGATTAACAATGGTACCCTTGAAACCTTGATCTGATCAAAAAACAGCAAGATACCGTCGTTTTTCCTACTCGAAGTGTTTAATTCGGAAAATATCTCTCATTATTTCGTAAAAGCAAGAAATGCGCAAATCAGTTTTTTTTCAGAGAAACCACAAATGAAAATTAACAGTTTTAATAAACAAAAACATGCATATATAATTTATACTTGTTAAGACGAAGCACCGTTGTTAATTGGGCATAGTCATCCTTGCAAGGAGGGTCTGTTGAAATAATTTGTTCAGTCCTTATAAGAATAATATAATAATAGTAGAATGGTCTGCAAGAGAACCCGACATGGAACCCCCGGACCACCCTCAGAGCGCACCGCATGAACACTCAATTCTCATTTTTTACTTTTTAAATCCACTTTATAATGAAAACGAGACAATCTGCGAAATGATGAGAAGAAGTTACCTTGATATCAAGGTAATTTGCAGCCAGGATGAGTTCAAACAGGGTTCCCTGGTCTCCCTAAATAAAATGATTATATTTAAAAAGATAAATAGTTACATCTAATATTTAATAACAGATAATTATATTTCTTTTTAGATAATTATTTACAAATAACATTAACATAAAAATTTTTCCGATAGCAAATTTCTCATTTCTTATAATAACAAATTAGAAATTAAAGAGGAAAGAGTTTACCCCCACGCCCCTTAAATAACACATTGAATCTTACACCCCCCTCATTCCGTCTAATTCTCCCGATGATAAGATGAAAAAACGTCCTCATTGTTGATTAGAAAAAGATTTAAAGAGCACCACTGTGAATCGGACATGACCCCTTTTTTCTTTTCCTTTTTTTAAATAGGATTAAAATACGCACCTTGAGAAACTCGGCGTCCCAAGATGAGATATCATCTGTCCTCTTCTCCTTGTTTTCATCATCCTCAGGCAGAGGAGCATCATCCTGCAACAATAATCCATAAATTAAGTTGTAATCTTGGTCTGTATGTTTGTATGCCCGATCATAACTAAGGAACACCCAGACTGAATTTGTTAAAATTTGTATTGGAGAATTCGGTAGAACCACAGGAATGTCAGCTTAACTTAATTTTAAAGCTGTAAGTTCAAGATGGGTGCCCAAACTATTATCGAAAAAATTAGACTTATTTCGTGACATATCAAGCTCAGGTTTAACAGAAAATAAGAAAAAAGGTAAAAAAAATAAGTGTTTGGGATCCATTAAATTTGATGCAGAAAAATTTTCAAATTAATTTTCTACTTTTTTTTCAAACTTGATGAAACATCCAGAGGTAACGAAATTTTGTTGTATCTCTTTTTTTCAACATTTCAAATTTGGATTTTAAAAACAAAAGATTTTTGTTTGTAGTTTTTTGTTAATAATTTGCCCCTTGAATACGGATCCGTGAATCCGCATATTATTGCGGATCCGGATCCTATGCATTGTAAATACTAGGATAAAACTAAAGACAAAAGAAAATATAAAATAACCTTGTGATGTGTGGCCCACTGGATAACCTTCCTCAGAATAGCAGCGTTCACGTTGGGCAGAGGGACTACCTCCTCATCCTTAAATATTTCACAATATCAATAACATCCAAGTTGTGTTGACTGTTGAGTGACCTTCCATTAAGAAGTTAAATGTCAGATCCACAACGGTTAAACTTGAAACCTTTATCTTGAAATTGTGAAAAACGTAATTTTTTTCTCTATATAGTATTGAATTCTAAATAGTTTTCTTATTTTTTACGCAATATAGAACCCCAAATTTTACCCATTCGAAAGAGCGTAAATAGAACTGAAATTGAGAAACCCTAACAGAGATTTTTCCGAGCTCGAAGAAAGATAGCGTTTGGTTTCAACAAAATCCAGGGTAAAGAAGAAAATGATGATAGTGATTAATTATTAACTATTTATAGCACTGTTATTTTGGATCGCAGTGTTATAAAGTTTTTGGACAGAAATTTTCTCTTTATCGAGAAGGTTCAAGCCTTTTTAGATTTAATTTTATCCCTTGCTTAAGCTTGGGACAAAATATAATCTAAAAAGGCGAGAACCTTAAAAGAAAGCCGAAGTCAATTTAAAGTTGATTTCAGTTTTATTTTCATTTCAATTTTTAAAAAATATTTAATATCCAAAATTTTTTGGAGAAAATCCGGGAATTAATGAAAACATTACAGAACAGGTGCTATAATGCAACATCTAATTTAACTTTATAGCACGATGATTACTTTATAGCACGTTCATTATGAAATTCGCAATGGAGTGAGGAAGAATGATGAAGTACCCATTAGTTTCATAATAATAATATAAAGAACTGAAAGCGTTATTTCAAGTGACACTCCATTCACAACGATAACCTTAAAACCTTTGTCTGATCAAATATGAATTAAAGTATGAATTAGATATCAAAGTTTATAATTCGATGAAAGATTATTTTCAACTGGAGGTTCTTAATTAAAGTACTACTGCAGGAAACCTTTACCTGATCAATAATGTGGAAGATATAACCGTTTTTCTGGGATAAAAAGTATTTAGATCTGATATTTCTTATATCTTCCACATTATTGATCAGGTAAAGGTTTCAAGGGTACTGTTGTGAATCTGGCATTGTCCTCTTTGCATGGGTGGGTGGGGTGCTCGCTTGAAATTACGCACGCTTATAGCTCCTTTAAAAGATCAAAAATTTTAATATACAACAAAAAATAATTGCTAGATGTTTTGTACAATAAGTTCATCGACATTTTTTAAAAGAATATACAAATCCGTTAAATACTAACCTCCTCCTCAACGCCGAGATCCTCCAACATTGTCTTGATCGTCACGCTCTGCTTAGCGATTTCGACGTCCACGGAGAAAACCTCGCCGTCGCTGCTCTGGAGCTTGATGTTAGGCATTGTGTTCGTTGATTGGTTTATCTGAAATTAGAAAATTGTGAAGTTACAAATCAATTTCTCCACAATGTTTCTGTTCTGTTTCATCAAAACTCAAGATATGAGATATTATCTAATAAAATCTAATGAAAAAATTGTTAAAATTTTAATGGAAAAAAGTTATCTATGGAAAGGATAGTAATCCAATCCAGTTTTGTCCTTCCACACTTTACGGAATTTAGGCGGCCGACGACCAGTTTTTATGAGTTCGTTAACAGACGGTCGTTCGGCCGGTGGCAGGAGCTCGTCGTCGTAGTTCTGGGGACAAGATACAACAGGCTCATCGGCGGCAATTATATACTTCTGTATTATATCTTTATCTCTGTTATATTCGTCCATAATGGTGGGAATACTATTCGTCTTTAGATCACAATTCACCATAAAATATAATCCTAAAATACAATTTTGTCTCATATTAAGCAATTTTAACTTGGTAAGAATCCCCCCTCCCTCCCTCCCTCCTTTTTAAAATATTATTTACTTTTTTAAAAAGCAATTAAGTAAATTAATGGTTAATAAATCAGCCTAAGGTTTATTTTTTCAAGTGTATTTCAAGGGCGTGGGAATAATTTTCGATCTTTTGAGAAAAATTCACCGTATACAATCTTTTAACCCATCAGCTTTTCAACTATTTTAGAGAGAAATAAAATCATGAATTTCCTCAGTTAAATGTGCGCGAATATAAAGCGCAAATTTTTTAATTGTGTATGTATATTGTTAATTGAGACAAAATTTTCCTTCATTGTGTTTCTCTCCATCTCGGACCTTAATATTTGGTAATTTTCGTACACCATGCGATTCAACTTTCCTGGAAATAAAATTCAAATTTTAACGACAAAAGATATAATTTAAAAAATTATCCTCTGGAGTTTCCAGTGTTTCTTATTTACCTTTGAATCATTTATTTAAATTATTTTTAGTAATTATTTCTAGTCCCTTGTCACCACAAAAACCTAATCGTAGTCTCTTAATTCATCATTTTTATCTCTTATTTTAATACTCCATGAATAATTCCTTTATTCTGTATTAAATCAATTTTTAAATTAAAAATTAATTTCTGATATACTTGTCAGTCAAACTCTCAATATACAGAGTGTCCCACATCAAATTAGACCGCGCCAATGGGTCTAAATTACGATTTGGGAGACAAATCCGAAAATTTAAGAAGTATGAATCATTTTGAAAAAATTTAATATGGCTAATAGAACTTTTTTTGGCAGAAAATGCTAGATTTTTCGAGTATTATGTGTTTATTTTGGCGTTAAAGATTGGAGATAGTCTAATATGATATGGGACGCTCTGTAGTAAAAATCGAATATCCGATATCCGGGTTTTTAAATTAGTTTCATCTTTAATTTTAATTTCCTACTTAATCTGGAAGTCTCTTTTCTTTTATTTCTTGATCTTTCAATTTATTTGTAAATCAAAAATTTTCTACTCGCTATAGCTAGTCAGTCAATCTCTCAAATTTTTATATCTCATATTATCAAACACATAGTAGGAGTAATGAAAATAAATTTACCTTATAAATCCACCAGTGTCGTACAAATGTTGACCTACGCGCTTTAAAGATTCAACCATTTGAGGCCGGGCCATCTAGAATATAACTTGGAAAATATCCTCTTTTCTAACTAGTGTTTAATTCTGGTAGTTTCCTCCGTTTAAGTTTTAAGGTAATAGTGCGAAAGGTACTAAGTGGAGATAACACATTAGAAAATTAATTTCGTACAAAATGAACATAATAGAAATTACGGGGTCTCTCCTAGAGAACGATTTTAACCCCCCCCCCCCTCTATCAATTTAGTACATGACTTAGATTTCGATTATTTTAACAAAAAAAATATTTTTCTTTATTATTTCAGGTTAAGCTTGGATAACGACTATTTCTGGGCCGAGCGCTGCGGCTAGGACAGAGTAGAGGCCAAGCGCTGTGGCCAAGTCGGACATTCAATTTCAACAATTTTCAACAAAGTTAGTATATATTTCGGGTTAGGATGGTTAGGTTCAGACACTTTATGGGTCGAACACTGCGGCTAGGACAGACTAAAATAGGGCGCTGCGGTCACATGACCAACTTTATCCATGTGTTAAATATGAAATGCATTTTCAAAACTGATAGAAGGGGGGAGGGGGGGAGCCCAAACATCGTTCTCAAGGAAGTTACCAAATCACGTATTTAGTTAACATCGTTAAAATATTTCGTCTCTAACTCACCAAACTTATCATCTCCCTTTATTTGTATTGGTTTGGTGTATCCCAAAAATCCCCTAAGGGGGTTCTGTCCTCGAGAACGATTTTTGGACCCCCACCCCCCATCAATTTTGTACATGACCACTTGTTAATCAGAAAAGTTATTATTGTTTGTTTTCTATTATATTAGGGTTAGGTTAGGACAATTTCTGGGCCGAGCGCTGCGGCTATCAAAGGATTGGGGCCGGGCGCTGCGGTCACATGACCAATGATATCCATATGATACTCATAATAACCATGTATAAAATTGATAACAGGGGGGCCGGGGGTCCAAAATTCATTCTCTAGGAAATTACTCCCAAGAGGTGTCTTGAATTACCTTTCGCATTATTAGAGTTAGTTCATACGTTGGCATTTTATCTGAAAATAAATTTTATAAATTAGAAACCTTGCTTAATTATCTTCAGTATAAAATAAAATTTTTATTGGTAGTCTTCTCAGTCCTTCAAAATAAATTATTGAACCACAATCAGACTCCCCCCCCTTATACAGCTTTTATCACGTTGACTGGTCCAGCAAGCTATATTAGTCTATACAAAGAAAGAGCTTGCGTTAGCACTATCAAATCCATTAGGACTGGCTAGGGACCGCCGACCGGCACTGCACTGAGGCAACATAAATAAAGAAATATAAGTTTTATGCGAGAATAATGTTCAACAGAATTAACTTTAAAAACAGGTATGACTAAACTTCAGCGGTTGCCTACACAACAGTGCCTGAAAAAGTGAAGAAAGTAGAACCGATTACGAAGCATTGCTCTATCCTCGCCGCTTAGATCGTCTTTAAACAAGAACAGACTAGGATTAAACGCTAAAGAGGTTTCGTGATTTTATTAAAGATTTGATAATATTCATACTTTCGCAAAACCTAAACACCCTTATTATCAAACGCCAAGAAAAAAGGTTGCAATAAAAGAATAGGTAAATATTTAACTATTAGTTAATTTTAAAAATATATTGGATTAAAGAATTAAATATAAATTATATAATTAAAGATGGAATAATATGAATAAATTTGTTAAAATTTAGTTCAATTCGTAAATAATTATTGTTGCATTCTCTTTTATAAAAAATTATTTCCGTCTGCAACTTGCCAGTGCAACGTTGAATTTTGAAACTGTAAATGTGATAATAATTTGTTTCTGATGCAATACAACATTGGAAATTTGATTTGTAAATGTTTTGATGTTGCACGATAATTTATCTATGATTGTTGTTTTTTACCCCTCTCCGCATAAATCACCTTTATTCTTAAATTAAACAAATAATATGTGGGAACCGACATTCTTGAATTATTCGGTAGTTTAGTTTTTCTTTATAAGATAATTTTTGTTTTTAGTGATTTAATTAGTAAGGTCCGTCCGTCCTAATATGATTTTTGGACCCC